TCAAGGCAGAGGGGGAAGGTGGTAGGATGATAAGTTTACTCCGCATCTATGTACAACGGTTAAAGGGGAACCAAAGCTCAGCGCCATGGGGGGACGGGGGCGAGGGCGGTAGCCGCAGACCGTGCAGGGAGAACGGAATGTTGACACTCTCTGGTGAATGCCTAGTCAGCTGTTTGTGTTTTCTAGGACAACATTGTATAGACCCGCACGGCCAGCTGGACAACACACTCGATGGGAACTGAGGTCCAATTTGCTGAACATAGCTCATTAAAACCCTCAAATCGAAGAAAGACTGGCCAAACTATTTTCATTGCGCTCAGCCACAAAATACTAGGGCTGGAAAGTAAGGGGTTCCACTTTTTTATTTGCCAACAGTGCATGCGAAGGGTCGCAGATGTCCAGTCGTAGAAGTTGTGGATCCTGCAAACTCAAGCTTGCAGGCCTGACGCGGGTTAATGGTGCGCCGCCGTTCAACCCCTTCGAAGGTGTCCACAGCTGTGGCCCAAAGGAACACTGCTATACGCCTACTGCTGACGTCCTCTTAAATTGCGGCCTAGCTGAGGAAGGGAGAGATCCTGACCCGTGCCGTTTTTCTCAGCGAAGAGCTCCAAATTCCACCGGTGCCTGAGGCAAAAATAGAGTCGGTTAAATAAATATTCGAATGTCGCAAACAACGTCGGATCAACTAGTAATCGCTGAAGCAGTAGACTAAGTGAAGACACATTCAGACACACGACATAACAACCCGGAAACGCGAATGAACACAGGCTGTACAACAGACCAGATAGCCACCTAGTCCAACTGAATAAAGGGCCTTATTTGACCGACGGAATGTAGAGGGAAAAAATGATCCAAATTTATCCTCTGCTTTAAAGCATCAAAGAAATGATTCAGCAGCGGTCATACAGCGGTCAGCTGGGCTCATATACATGACAGATGTCAGGAGAATGTGGCTTTGGGATGGTACGACCTAGAAACCCCACCGTCCAATACCATTATTAAATCACATACGAATGTTACTGAGAACGAAGAAACTATGCGCTTCGGTAGGATGTTCGCCGTCAATCCCCTTGCCACATCTGCTAGCGAAGTATTCAAACGACAAGCCCGCCTCCACCGCCAGAAAAGTAAAAAAACGAGTTCGGGTGATAACATCATTTATTGAGGCACCAAAAAGCCTGCGCAAAAAAAACAAATAGCCAACTATGGCATATTAAAACAGGAATGGAGATAAACCATGACCCTGGGTAATATGCGTCACCTTACGGAAGCATTCCTTTGTGCGGCACGCCTGTTTTCCAACGGGCGCCTTAGTACCACCCTCCAGCAGCTTGGCAATATCCATTACAGTCACGGGATTGAGATTAACTACTGTGGGCTGTGGCGCGGTACCAACGCTCTCCGGCAGGACAGTTCGGCCAACGCCCGAGATTCCACCGCCAGCCGGGGCGTTGAATGTCAC